TACAATACTTCGTCCCTAAAATCCCTTTTCCAACCATATTAACCAAAAACCTAATGCCCCCTATTCCGTCGTTCTACTCGAAGTAACTAAAGTAATAAAAGTAAGAAAAGTAAGATTTCTCTTACTTCTCATGTGACCAGTTACTCGGGTAGGCAACGGGACCTAATTTCGACGATCGGTCACGTGAGACCGTGACCGATTTCGGGGCTCACACTAGTATCAGTTACGGTTAATAACTGAGATTAAATAGTTATAACCGTAACCGAACCCATCCTTATTTTGGAGCATAATATTAGATAATCTTAGTAATTAAAAATGGATAATCAATATTTAAATTACTACATTATTGTTAATGAGATGTTCTTGACAAAAAAAATTCGATTTTTTATAATGGGTAGCTTGTCATTGAATTGCGAGATCAGATGACATTATGGATCACATGCTTAGTTTGGCCTTTTGTGAACTGTAATGATTTTCTGCGTTGTTCTCATTAGATCAGGATTTTCTTGGTTAAGTTTATGATTGTTAAGGGCGAACAGATACAAATTAGTGCTAAAGTAAAGGTGCACTTTCATATGGCTTTACGCATGAATCAGATCAGTGGGACAGAGGAAGAAAATGTAATGCAGTGTATTTAAAGGTGATGTTTTTAGTAAAAAAAAGCTTATCTTACTTTTTGCTATCATTTGCCTTGCAGGAAGGCTACTCTATCGTCCCTAATGATGGGCAATGCGCATGATTTTTATAATGCCTGCGAAGCAATATAATGCTGGCAGATAATATGAGCCGGAAATTTTAATAGGTTCCGGAATATTCCGAAAACCTATAAAGATTCCGAATAATTTTGAAATGAGAAAAAATTGGAATTTGCACATCACTAATCGTCCCTCCAATCCTGCCACGGTGCAGTGACCCGCCATACTAGATGGTTAACTTGTGTACCGATGTCTAATGTCAGGAAGTAGTAGTGAAAGGACCTGGTTTTGCTTTAGTTTTTTTATTTTTGTAACTATGGAGCTCTGCGGCTGCTGTAGTAGCTCAAGAATTTGTTTTGTAGTGATTAGGCCCCGAGGCTGCAGTAGCAGTACGAAACCCTTGGCAATTAGGCTTCGCGGCTGCGATAGCAGTGCAAAGACCTTGTTAGATGTTCCATGGCTAGAGATGGGAAAATCGAGGATTTTTCGAATCTACTGCGCAGCCTGCATGGGCCTGTATTACGGCTAATGCGGGCCAAAATTGTCAAATTCTGGGACATTCCGATGATTCCGGTCTTCCGAAAAATTCCGCCTGCGCAGTGTCCCATCTCTATCCATGACTACTATAGTAGTGCATAGACCTTCGCTAAATGGGTTGCAGGCTCTGTGGCTGAGATAACAGTGCAATGTATTTAAAAACCCAGTTTACTTCTTGACAATCCTGTATATACCTGAATACTCACATGCACATGCATAAACTTTACTGATGCTAATCGTACTAGTCTTGCGCGGCACCACGTGCTGCGCAGCTACCTTATATAATAGCAATAGCGATAGTTAAATTTGCAAATTTAATAATGCGCCAATCATATTATAGTAGGTCACGTGAGTGTGAAATTTTTTATGGCGAATTGGAGTAAATCCGAAATTTCCTGGATTAAACAACAAGAGATAAGTTCTGAAATAACTTAAAAAGGGTTTTCATAATAATAAAGCTGATATTTTATGCACATAATGCGCATGAAATTTGAACAATCGCCAATTTGCACCTCCACAAATCTCTTTCATTGCCAAAAAACCGAAAAGAGCCGGGAAACCCAATTAAAGCAAGTGATTTACGTATCCGTTAACTGATTCTTTCCCACTCCGATCACCACCATGTTACTTTTCCACGGTAACAATATGATACAGGCTATCTAGATATAGGAACAAATACTCTGCTTACTTTAATATATATTACAGATAAGCATGTGGGTTACCCAAACAAACTAAACGAGTATCCGGATTATCTAGATCTAAGCATTAAAAATAAGGTAACCGGCAATAATTGTGACAGCTTAAATTGAAATCAGATTAAAATGAAATGAGTGATAGTGTCAAATAGACAAGCCACCAAAAAATACAAATTTTTGAGGTACAATTTTTTAGCATTTTTTTAGAGTATTAGTGTTTGGGAGTAGAATTTATAATAAAAAAGTATAGGTGGGTTTTAGGAGGTCAAATAGAAATCTCTCATTTCATTTTAATCCGATTTCATTATGATCTGTGACAATAATTAATACAATAAGCTAACAAAATAAATACCATAGATCGCCAATTTTGATGTTTACGTAATCGGTCATTTTTTAAACGATTATAACCTCCTTATACTTCTTTAAAACAACAAATAAGAGAACTGCGATTTGTCAAGGTCTTTGAAATAAGTTTTTTAAAATTATTCATAAACTGGAATAATAAATTATTGAATAAAACCGTGATTGCATGTGAAACATATAATAACTATACACTACATTATAGTGGTAAGAAAATTTTGAATCAATAGATAAACAGAATAATGTGGCAAGAAACCACGTAACTAAGCTGTTACAAGAATAAAATTTCAAAACAGACCCGGCAGTTTCCATCTTTTGATAAATCTAATATAAGTGTAAATGTTTTTAATAAACACTTTGTATAAAATATTGTATTATTATATAGCTATAATGTTAAAATTTTCTAACAAAATATCTATATAATTTTCCATATGTTTTATTTTGGATGCATTCTTTATCAAAATCGGCGAATAATTGTTGATACTCTTTTTGAGATATGTTCATATAATTTGGCATGTAAGTCAAAGCGCTATAAAACTGTTTTACTTGTTCCAATAACTGAACAAATACATGAAATACGATCAAAATTGATCAGTCTTATATATTAATAATTTCCATATTAATGAATGATTAAATACTGAAACTTACGAGTTCACCAAAACTTCCTGACCAATTGCCGATTGGAGAATTTACTTGACTATGTCCAACATTACCAACCTCGTTAATTGATTCAAAACATTCAGGTATCGTTGAAATTATTTTGGGATCAAACCCATCTTCTTTTAATTTTGCGTGCACTATAATATAATACAATTATTTTAACAACATTTTAGTATACAGGAATAATCAGGTTTATGAAAGGTTACCAGCATCTTGAACTAATTTCATAGAATGTCCTAAATTTATGTATTCTAAATCAGGCTCTTCAATCTCAATCCATCCACCATGTTTTGTCACGCGTACTGTTTCGTGAATAACACTTAAATATTGTTGTTTAGTAAGTGATGCCCACATCGTTGATAAATGAACATAATCAAATGTCTCATCCGGAAATGGAATTCCACTTAACAAGTTAAATTCTATAAATCCCACATTTGAAGGTTGTTTATATGTTGAAGGAAGGTTGCATGATGGATCGCTTATGCCGACAATTATTGACTTTGGAAAATCGCTTGCCATTTCTAGAGTCCAATAACCACAACGTCTATTATGTATGCGTATATATACGTACGTATGTTAGGAAACTCGTGACAGTCAACGCATTATGTACACACATATAGGTATGTACATACCCAATATAGAGAACTTTAGCTTTATCATTCATTAATATTTCTTCTACTGGGGCTGAAAAATTACTTCGCCATAAATAATGAAATATTAAGTGAGCACTTACACGTCGCTCAAACTCTTTTGTATCTGATGGTAAGGCTTGTTTCGATTCATTTAAGAATCTTCTTCCACCAATAGTATTAAATGGATTTAATAAATTTGAAAATACTTTATTAATATCTGATTCGCGACAACTTTGATTTAAATTATTTTCATTGTTATCGTTTATTTGTTGCTCTTTATCGAAATTTAAGGACATTATTATAAAAGTAAAACCAAAACGATGTTATGTTTAGACAATTTTCCAAAAACAAAAACTGCCATTAAATAGAAATATCAAAAACAGGGGCAAGCATATCAATTCCATTTTAACGCATAGGCCGAATTTTATAAAAAAAATATGGCATCGGACTCAAATCAGGTGCTTTTTGCATTGTGAGCAGAGGTTTGTTTAATGGGCTAATGCCAATCAATTTCCCGGGTAACTTATTTATATGTTTTTGAAGTAAAAAAGTTTAGTATATCACAAAAGCGTCAGCTCCGTGATCGCCAAACTATCTGATCTTTTGAATTAAGATCGTACGAATAAATATCTCACCGGCCTCTTGCAATATAGTGATACCTATTCTAAATCAATTGATTAATAATTCATTTTATTAATAATATTACTTACATTGCAAATGGTCATGATAGATGACGCTGAAATTAACCAACTGCTAACCAATAAGGTTATAATTCAGCATCACTATTAACGACAAATATTAAGAAAAAACAGCTACCTACTGGCCCAAAAAACTGATTAAAAAAGTTATCCAAGTGGAGAAATACTTTAAGAATGTTATGCCAACAGTTATTTTACTGCTTTATATTCAAATAAATTTTATTACTAATTACTCAATCCTGTGTAGATATAACCTTTTTTTTCATTATTTCTACGCTCTACTGTATTAATTCATCTTATATATTTTTAACTGGCATTACAATAGTTGCTATATCTCAAAGATTATATAATTAACCAAAGTCAAGTGCATTAATTAAAGATGGTCAGAACTAGTGTTGGCAGGCGAAACTATTTTTGACAAATGGCGAAAGACGAAACTAAACCCGGCGAAAGACGAAACCTGGCG